GGGGGCACCACCATCCTCCAGCGCCATTCCAAGAGGACTTTTCGAGAGTCATAACGAAGACCGACGAGATAAAGTACTCGCCAGCTGCCCATAAAACATTCGCATTGGGAGTGCAATGAATTAGAACGTATGGCCCACAGAACCCGCCTTACTCCGGCCATACAACGGTGCCTCGTAATCCGAAGTGATGAAGTTTCACAGTCGAGCGGTTCGCGAACCACAGAAGGAGCGTTACAAGGCCTTAAGTTAAGGCAAATTGCATAATAGCTACTAAAGTGATGAACAGGTTCGTCTACACAACTATTTATTCCTAACATGTATTAGTCTATCATAAGACCATCGTCATGTGATGTTATCATACTACAGAACACAATTCAACCGCGTGTCCTAAACACGTAAAAGCTATCCTGCTACGCGCCATGTAGGCGCTCAAGGGGAGACTTCTGTAAACAAGTACGATTTCAAGTTTTTACAACGGTGGGTCTGAAGATGACTGTCTTCTGGGTTGTAGCGCCGTGCAGGGCGATGAGTCCTCATGGATGAAGGCAGCAAGAATCTCTGAAACTTCGGTAAACGTCTATTGTCCGCGAGGCACGAGAGTAGACGAGTCCTTGTCAGCCGTCATTTGTGTGGCTGGGGGGAAAGTGGGTTCTGCGCATGCGCTGGTGATGTATTCCTTACCTAAGAACATTGTGCTATCAGTCAGTCAGTCAGTACATTGGATGCGGGTGTTTTTCGGTCCGCTAGTAGCACTGAATTCTACCCCACCTCCCTCAAAGATGTCATGTCTACTCTCGTGCTTCGCGGACAATACAAGATTACGCGGCGCTACAACCCAGAAGACAGCCATCTTACGTAAACAATGCAGCACAACATTACTGACCTTGGAACCGGACCGGGCGATGGTGCCAAGGTTTGCAATCAGATCTTCTTTTGTCATCCCGACTCCTGTATCCTGTGGTAGAAAGAGCAAAAACAAGATCGTTGATAGAAAACGAGACTGGTGAATAACAGCTACACACATCGCCAACAGTAACTGTAATTACAGTCAGCCCTCGAGTACTTCAATTATTAATCCTATGTTAACAAATCAAAATGATACTCATGAGGAAGTTAGGAGGAGACTAAATTCCGGAAATGCTTGCTACTTCTCAGTTCAAAATATTTTGTCTTCCCGTCTGATTTCTAAGAACCTGAAAATTGAAGTATACAAAATAATAATTTTGCCTGTTGTTTCGTATGGGTGCGAAACATGGTCTCTCACTCAGAGGGAGGAACACAGATTGCAGGTGTTTGAGAATAGGGTGTTGAGGAGGATATTTGGGCCTAAGAGGGAAGACGATGGGGCATGGAGAAAACTGCATAATGATGAGCTTAAAAATCTGTACTCCTCCCCCA